TCGCGCAAATAAATAGTTCTCATTAAAATGAATCATTTCGAATCGAACAAAACGGGAAAGCCTGAATTAATTCGCAGCGGATGCACCTGCTGTTAACATCGCGCAAGAAATTTCCCAAAATTGAGTGTTTTACTGCGCCGCGGGGTAAAACCTGGCGCGCCCCGGAGAGTTTTCATAAATCGCGACGCACACATAAGTTCGTTTAACCAGAAATTTATTCCCCCAACTCCCTCGGCCGTGTAATAGTGCCTGTTTTTCCACTGAGAACGAGAGGGATGAAGCACGCAGAGAGATATAACGAGAAACGCGCGCATATATGTAGAAATGCAATCGTCGGTCACTCTCTCTCTCTCCCTCTTTCGCTCTTTGTGTGTATACGGCAAAAAAGAATCGCGAGCAAAGCGTATCGACGTGTCGACGTTGGCGAACGAGCAAATAAACGCGCCGCCGAGCCAAACGCCGTCGCGCCAAATTTATCGCGCGCGCGCTTAATTAGCGGGCAAAAAATGATAACGCGATTACTACTCGCGCGAGGCACGACCGCAGAAGCTTGGCGCTCCCGCGCGACATTCGGAAAGCTGTCGTATAAATCACTGAGCGAAAACCGTGGCTCCTAATGCACAGAATGCAAGCTATTTATTTTCGAGAATACCGAAAAATTGGTTTCAGAAAGCCTATAATGAAGCGATATGGCAATGAACTTCAAATCACCTGTTTTTAAACCAATGAAAAAAGTACGACATAAATTCCCATGCTGTGATATACGGAGAACCTATATGCGAAAATTTGAAATTCAATTTTTTAATAAATTATATTCTTTTTAATGTATAAAAAAAGGTTAGAAGTTACATCTTTTTAAAACAATGTGTTTTTTTACAATATAAAAAGATAGAAAAAAGTGGTTTAAATTCTGTAATGATCTTTTTTTAAAACTTTGTTTTTCCGATTCCATAAGATCTTCTTTATTGTGTGATGAATCTAAGTCTTATAAAATCAGATGGATGATATTACAACATTTTCTTTTAATTTTTATTAAAATTACAATATATCTATATAATGTATATATTGTTTAATTTTAATAACATATATTTATTGTTCCAAGTAACACATACTTTAAAAGATAACTTTGAGCTTTGATTTTTGTCTACCACAGCTACTTCGACAAGATCTTATGACATTTCGAGAAAGTGTAACAGCTGAAAGATTTTAAGCTTTGAAAATGATGGAAAGCAATGGTTGAAGTTTTTATTTTGCTGTAAACCGTCATGGAAGTCTATTGGTTGCAAGCAATTTTGCTGTAAAACATTGTCACGCATACTGTGAAAGCTATTTTAATAAAGACGTTGTATAGTTTACAAATCGGAGTAACAATAAATACGGATATATTGTTTATACAATCTGGATAATTAATATTGTATAAAAGTTAAATTTTAATTTTAACATTCTTAAAAGAATAAAATATTATAAATTTTTTTTTTGTTTAACTGATTGAACATTATGACAATGAAACCTTTGCTTCAAAATATTAAAAAAAATTAATTAATTATTGAAATAATTACAATTTATACTTACATAGAATTATAGAAGTAATACGAAAACAAATTATAAAATAATTGATTAAGTTATCTACTGATTAAGTAATAATAGATTCCAATAAGTGAAGTATTGCTAACCATCGCTGGGTACGATTTAAATAAAATTGAAAGTCATGTTACTCTTTGCTATAACATACAATTATAGCCAGATTACAGCTATAAATACAGTTAAAATTGCTGTGACTGCGGATTTTCAGATCGCTGTCACAACGACTTTACAGCTATAAATACATAAAATCGCTGTGGCTGCATTTGGATTTCGGATCGTTGTCACAGCGATACAGCTATAAATACAGCTAAAATTGCTGTGGCCTGCATTTTGGATTTTCAGATCGCTGTCACAACGACTTTACAGCTATAAATACAGCTAAAATTGTGGCTGCATTTTGGATTTTCGGATCGTTGTCACAGCGAATTTACAGCTATAAATATAGCTAAAATTGCTGTATGCATTTTGGATTTTCAGATCGCTGTACAACGACTTTAAGCTATAATACATTCAAATTGCTGTGGCTGTTTTGGATTTTCGGATCGTTGTCACAGCGACTTTACAGCTATAAATACAGCTAAAATTGCTGTAGCTGCATTTTGGATTTTATATCGCTGTCACAACGACTTTAATACTAAATACAGCTCAAATTACTGTGGCTGCATTTTGGATTTTCCGATAGCAGTCACAATGATTTTACAGCTATAAATATAGCTAAAATTGCTGTGGCTGTATTTTGATTCTTTATTAACTATCGCAGCGCTTTACAGTTAAAATCCAGCAAAATAGCATTTGCAGCCAAATAGATGTAATTAAGGCTGGCAGAACGTTTTACTAGCTACATTTTGCTGTGCAGCGAATATAGCCAGACTGTGTTACTTGGGGGTAGCTAGTGGAGAACGCAGTTTTTCGAAACTTAAGTTAATAAAGACTTATCTACGATCAACGATTTCACAGACAAGACTTACTAACTTAGCTACTCTTTCATTGAAATGAAATTGCCGCAAACTTGAATTTCACCGATTGATTCGAGTGTTTGCCGATAAAAAGGCCCGAAAAGTGTAATTTTAATAAACTTCCGTAATCTCTCAAAAACTCTAGTTTAAGCTTTGTCCTCTAAGAAACCCGAAATAATAAAAGTATCTAAAATACAAAAAAATACAAAAATAAAAATATAAAAAAATATAAATATATAAAAAAAACAAACAAAAAAGGAGCTACAAAAACTTTCTACGTCCACGTCGTTAGCTCTGGTAAAGCTAAAGGAAATCTGAATTTTTTAATGCGTGCATTCGTTTATATCCGTTCAGGCTAGTAAAGATATCGTAATTGAATAATTACGATAATCTTGCCCAGGGCGCCAATGTTGCTAAAGCCGGCACTGTATCTATGTAATAATTATATTACGATTTTATAGAATATGCATATACATATGTATATGTATATAGATAACATTTGCAAACAACATCTATACATGTCACTAAATGCAATGGCGTTAAATTTGTGCTTGTTTTTGTTTGTCATTTACGTATTCGCACAGTTTTGCATGTTTGTGCATTCGACACACACACTATTCAATATTTATGTCTTCGGTATGTAGAGCACGTCAGAAGCATTCGTATCCCAATACGTAGACTTTATTCAATGCAAAGTGAGTACTTCGTATCAGAGGCACGCGCGGGAACCGCGGTTTCGCGTCCTGGGAGTTTGCACTCCGAAACCAACCGGGGTAGCTAACCGGCCCTGCGGACTAACAGGACAGGGTCAAAGGGGTCTATTGTGTTCTCGCTTAACTACTGCTTACTGCAACACAAAGCTCTGAAAAGCCGACAAATTATTTAAAAAGACTCGTTATTGTTCCGCGAAGCGAATGGTCAAAACCGTCACGAAATTACTTGCTAACTAGACAGAAACTCTTTCGGTTGAAAGAAGAAATAGTTATATGCATAGAAAAAACGAGACTTTTATGTTTTCGTACATCAGTGAAAACTGCCAAAGAGAGGTAACAATAAAGAAAGGAGAGAAAATAAGAATTGTATATGTAATAAATATAACGCATTACTCAATATTAAAGTCTTAATTCGACATGTTGATTTTATAGCTTATTTAACAACTATATCAGCTTATTTAATTTAAAACATGTGTGAAAATATTTACAATGATATAAAATATCGACACACTGTAAAACTGGATATTGTCAAAATCAATAAATGCTATGCGTTGTAAGTATATATGTAGTTCTATGTATGTTGAGATAAATGAAAAAATAACAATTAACTGACAACTGATTTTATTTTTCTAATTGTTCTCCAATATTTTGCCAATATATCATATAGTCTTAAAATAAAACTATATACATATACATCTAATGTTTAAAATAAAACATTTCTATATTGTATTGGTATTGATAAAATTGTCATATAAAATATTAAAACGATAATAATGTCACAATATACGAAAGACACTTTAATAGTAAATAATATATTATAAATAAATCTAGAATTTCATATGATATATGCCGAATAACACGATGGATATTTTGAATATTACAATAATTTTAATTTGAATGTCTATATATGTGCATGAAAATGCAACACACAAAATAACTATTTCACCAAAATAATTGTAGATTTGATATAAAAAATACCAAAAAAAACACACACACACACATAGATAAAAACTGTTTTTACAATCAAATTATTATTTATTTAATAACACAATAAAAATATTTTTAAATTAATTTCAAATAGCGTAGTTATTTAACTCTTTTCGTGTTAATTTAATGCTTGAAATTTTTTCTGCAACCATTCTGCAAATTGTACATCTATTATCGTAAACGGAAAAAAGATAGAGATGAATTTATCTGAAGAAGCTGTCACGAAATAATTGATTCCCGCTTTAAATCTCAGCCCACTTTAGAGTACTCGACTGCGTTCGGTCGATAGAATATTTTTAATTACCGCGTCGTATTTGTCTCGATCGTCCTGCGAATGCGCGATAAATAAAGCACGCGTCAATCATTACAAAGCTATTTCCCCCTAGAATTTTCATCGCGTGGCTGAAATTTTCCAATTGTATTTTCGCCAAGTCTTCCGAATTTTCAGCGTTTAAAATGATAAATTAATTGAAATTGTTTTACAGTAACATTATATGTAGAATAAATAAGTCAAGTTTTTTTATTAGCCCAAGAAAAAATTGAGAAATAAACCAAGAAAAAGATTATATCAGTATTTTGTTTCATTATTATTAATTATTAAATTCTATTGGCAAAAATTTATTAATATATTCATGTATCTATTTAAGTCAACTTGTAGCTAAATTAATCTAATATTTAGTCCAAAATTTAAATTATATCGATTACATCCTTACAATTAGATGCATAGCATAAGCGAATTATTTGCGTTTTTGTTATATAGGTGCCACACTGGAGATACTCAGATTGGATGTACCTAACATCGTCGATCCAAGGTGGGAGAAAGTGTCACTCAAATGCGAATACGACCTCGGCGGTAAGGAGTTGTATTCGGTGATGTGGAGTAAAGACGGTCAAGAAATATTTAGATACCAGCCAACAGCACCCATGCCTAAACGAGTCCAGAATATCACTGACTTGCGCGTCGACCTCAGTCGTAGCGACAGCAAGCAAGTGACACTTCTGGGTCCGTACACTCGTAAAGGTGCGCGACGTTAATTTACAAGCACGAATAACAAAATATCTCTCGTATTAAAGACTCTTCTTTACGTAACTTTAGTTGCTTCTTTATAGAAAATCATTCAATTACATAATTATCAAAGAGTTTACAAGCTCGAAAAATTAAAATCGACAATTTGTTTCTTAAAATTCTATTTTATCATCTCTTGAATATAAAGATAATGCTTCACTTAAAAGTATTTTTATAAGAAGAAAAAGAAAAAGATCTTTATTAATTTTAAATTTATATATCTAATCCTTTTTTTCTCTGATTTGATAACAAAGGTGAGATCGACTTGACGGGATCTTACGGCTGCGAAGTATCGTCCGAAGGCCCGAATTTCCAGACAGACTACAGGGAGGCAAACATGAGCGTGGCAATACCGCCCAAGAGTCCTCCGGTACTCGACGGGATGCGAGCTTCTTATAAGATCGGCGAAATCCTCCAAGCGGAGTGCACATCGGGATTAAGTTACCCCCCGGCAGTATTAACGTTCATCTTGAACGATAAAGAGGTGAGTCGATGAGCGAGTGCGTGCATTCCGCCAGTTACACTTTTGAGAGGCCGTATGAACTCAAAGTACGATCGATTAGTGCTCGACAACATTTCAAGATTCTATATCATGCAAAGACGTTGTATTTTTCATTTTTTTGCGCACTTTGCACATTGTTTATATTAAATAAAAATTAATTTTTTATTCACAATTATCAATTGAGTGCGGATTAAATAGTCTTCTATTTTCGATATAACTTATAACTAAAAAGTTAATTTCTTATTTAATATTTTTATTAAGTTATCTACTGCAAATTGGTCGACAAAAAGTCGTCTCTGAAATATTATGTGACACCTTTAGAGAATATCTCTGTATAATTTACCGATATCAAATAAGAGAAAAGTTTATAATTAATGGTGAAGCATAATTCATCTTCAAAAAGCTCGTTTCCGCGGCTGTTACACAACCACGGCAAACTATAGAACCACATAACTCCCATTATTCAATGCTATACGCTCTATGTATGTCATATTCGCGAGAAGATACTACTCGGTTTATTTAACGACAATTTGTCAAGTCGAGCCACTTTGCGTGGACGTTTTTATTTCGCTTGCCGCGCGTTCACGTTCTCAACAAATACAGCGAACTACGAGGCGCAAATTAACTCCTCGAGAATAAACTCGCGAAAACGCATCGGAATTGCGATGCTAACAAAAATATCCAATTTGTGCAATAAAAGCACGACAGCTTGAAAAAAGTTGATATACACGATGTTCTAAAACTTTAGCTATTTCTCTTTCAGGATTCCGTAATTAATTTGAAATTGAAAATTCAATTCTTTCTTCTTTGTATTCTTGTAACATTCAATGTTGTTATATATAATATTTCCACGAAAATTATAGCCTCTGTTACTTCATAAAAATGATTCGAGATATCGATTTCAAATTACACCCATTTTTGAATTGAAATTTTGATTGATTCAACAGGTGAACAGTGCTTTAACTAAAGATTTGCGAGCTAGCAACATAGACGGAAGTGTGGTCTCTACGACACGATTGGGTCTAACGTTGCGTCTAGAACAACGTCACTTTATCGGGGACAGCCTAAAAGTGATCTGTCAAGCGACATTACCAGGAGTTCCGAATAGCCTGACCTCTCAAACTATGGAGATCGTGACTCTTACCGCCAGTAATCAACGTCTCGCCCAAGATCCCCCTAAATCAGGGGTTTCAAGGTCGAATATCGGAATGTTTCACACGGTTCTATTGTGCTGGATAGTGGCCGCGATTCACATAATCCGCTGCGACGGTCTCAGATCTCTACGCGTATTATAATGTCGGTTCGAACGTTAGCTTTCGATCTAAAAAAAATAAGCCGCGAATATCTTGATTAAATTTCGTGTTAATTAGTGCATACACATACGTCTCCATTTGTTCACGCGGATAATGTCGTATTATAATGTCGTCGGTTTCTCCATATGTGTTAATCGACGATCGCGGATGTCGCCAGATGTATTGTATGTAATCTTCAGGGCGTGACACACCAAGTGTGTCGATACACATTTCAATGTCCCGAATCTTCGCGCATCCCGTACACGTTCAATCGCATGTATACACAGTGTTAGAACACCCCGTATATCTCGTATATATAGCGGATAACTCGGAGAGACACGACGATAGCAATACAACACTACATAAAGTAGGTCGAAACGCGGACGCACGGCGTTGTACATAGTGTATAATTGTGGATTAGCATTACAAATTATCGTGTATAATTAACTGGACGGGAAGCCGGACGATGACGGAGAACACGATGAAAGTAACATGAGATGTATCGGGATTTGCAGAAACGCGAGTGCAATTTTTCGAGGGAAAAAAATTATGCGGCTGTAAAATTATGCCGCGTCTCCGAGAAATATCTATCATTCAGACCAGAAGTATAGTTTAATAAATATAAATATAAATGTGTGTATGGGTGTATGGGTGGGTATGTGTGTGTACACGCGCCAATCCGTAATTTTAAGTACGACTCGACGTATAGCGTAAATAATGTGTGGTTAATTCGACTATATTCCCCACATCCGATCTTCCTCAAACGACGCGTGCGAGGTTCTACGTGTGTAAAGTAAGAAATATGACGCTTTCGTTCCACTGTAATTTTACATGAACCAAGTCTCGTCGTTATTATCGAAGTGATTACAGTAATAAAACGATGATTTAATCAACTTGTCTATACAGATCTTTCGCGAACCAGAATATCCTCCTCAACGTAATCATATAATCGAACGTTAATTATATTTAATTTCCGATTTATAGATACAATTTATAGTAAAACTAAAACAAATTATATCCGTCGCGATCACGATTAACGGGAATTGCAATCGCTGTCGTATCATAAGGAATAAATCAATAAATACTACAGGAGCAATTTGGTTATCCGAGAATCTTGTAATTCGATTGGTTCCTTTGCTAACATTTATACAAAGAGGAGAAGAGCTTTCACGACCCGATACATAATTTGTGTAAGTAATAAAGATCGGCGAGATAAGAGCAGTTTAAGACGCGAAGGGGGAGATCAGTCGTCGATGGGGTAAACAATAAAAGGAGAAATTAGCGAGACGTTGATCTTCGGGGAAAACCGTCGAAAGAGAGGACGGTCACATAAACCGTCTCGGATTCACCAAACGAATTCACCACCTCTCTCACCCTTCGATCCGATCTATCGGCACGCCGCGCCGACTTTGCGACTCTCTCTCTCTCCTTCCTCTCCTGGATTCGATTTCCAGATTAATTAAGGATCGCTGGTCTGAAAGGACGCCCTCGAGATCCTTTCAATGGGGTCGAGTGTCCGTCCGTCCTGGGGGCGGCGTAACGAGCGCCGATTCGAATCGGTTTCACGAGACACCGAGCTCGATAATGGACGGGAAAGCCTGGATGATTTTCCTTCGGCTCAGGTAAGTCTATCTTACGATTCCATGCCTGCTTACTGATTACGAGCGCTTTCAATTAAATCCCCAATTTAATACCTCGCATCACATACGTGAGAAGATTTTCGCGACCGGTCTCCGCATCTTTTTTTTTCCTTTTCTCGGGATTTATGAGATTTTTTTTATCCCGATATTTTTGTTGCCACATAATCTAAGCTGGATTCTTTTTATATATAGAAAAAAAATCAGATAATTATCACGCAGCCTTTCGTTTTTTCTCTTTTTAATGTTCATATAAATCTCAAATCTAGTTTTTGTTAAAATATATAACTTGACTTTAAAAAGAAAAGTAATTTATCGTGCTTATCATGTGTTTGAAAAATAATGTAAGATTTAACTGTTGAAAAAAAAAATAAAAATTTATCTTAAATGTTATTAATGTTCCAATTTTCATTCTTAATGAGGCAGAAGCCTCGTTAGCCTATTGATATTTTTACAATTTAATAATTTACGAGATGTACGATTGATCCGAGATGACCTACATAGTTGAACCGAGAACAATAGTTGAGCCAAACTCACAGCTGAATTGTAGACGACACGACATTAGAGTGGCTTTAGGGCGCTCGAAGTTGAAGGTAGAGTCTCACCATTACCCTCTCGCTATTACTCCCTCTCCACTTTGCTTTATCGTCTTCTCCCAAGTTGAGAGAGAGAGCGAGAGAGACAGAATGTGCAGTCTTCGTATGATATACGTCCTCATGTGAACACGTACGATAGATGCACGTCTGTGGCCGTAGCACGACGATATGTACATACAACGTGCGTGCATACAAGCGCGCGTATACGAGTACAGCTGTATCCCGGAAGAGATGCCAGGAACTGATACGAAATCGATAGAACCCAGTTTCCGGCGACGTGACGTGTCGGCGTTTATACCATTCGCCCAACAGCGGCATCAACCGGCGATAGGAACAACACTGTGCCAGCGATCTTCCAAGCGATTCGCGCGTCATTTGAGTACGCTTTGACTAGAGAGATAGATATGTAGGTAGATAGGTTCTCTCGCTCGCAAAAAGAGAGAGAGAGAGAGAGTCGACGAGATTCCGGGGCAATATGATAAGTTTCATAAGAGACTTTGGCACAGAAATCGCAATAGTGCATTTCACACGTTTGCGGTATGACTTTCGCAGATGAAAATCTCAGCAGGGTGTGATATAATCATGTGATAAGATTATATGATATTTCGTTACAAAAATAGAAAAATATAAAAATAATATATATTTTAATTAATTTTAAATTTTAATTAAAATATTTTTCACGAAACTTTATCTAAAAGAATTTAGTTGTACGAAGTTAATTTTTTAAAATTTCGTAGAGCATATATATATATATATATATATATATATATATATATAATCCGCACAAATTATACGTGCTTTCAAAAGATATATGATATGGCGCTCAATGGCTGATAAAGACAGACATTTTATTAAACGAGTAATTTGCGCGCTCATGCGTGATACGTAGATATTAATGCGTGATACGTACTTATATAGAAACCAGATGAAATCATATCGTTGTTGATCACGAAGAATGGGACAATTGCTCGAAATTAATATCGCGCCTCGTAATTTTCTTTTAGTTAATTCTCTCGCGAGTACAAATCATGAATTATAAATAATCACCAAATACTGTGTTAATCGCGAACATTTAATATATAAAGCTTTGAAATTTAATAATCGATTTCATTCATAATGGATAAGCATTTCACATCTACTATGACTGAAAAATTATTTTATAGTATGCATCAATTTTATGAAACAATTTTTCATATTGTACAAAAGCAATTATTGCACTTGTCTAGAGAGAAGTAATATGTATATAATCACTATTTTATTGATATTTTTATCTTTATTGATATTCAATTTCGTCTACCTATCAAAAACTTGTCTTGCCAAGTTCAAATCGATCACTATAATACTTGCGTGATTCTCTTCCGATGACAAATTTGGGAAACGTAGCACGATTGGCAAATAGAAAACCCGCATATCGATAAAGAATCATGATGTTGATGGTACGTTGCAATTGATCGTAAGCGATTTCCGAACGAAAGATTCACGGCGGAAACTATCGTGGTTTCCTTTTTTCTATTTCGTCAGATACAGATAGACATTTTTACTATATATTTGCAAATAAAATTCTATAATACAATTGTTATTATAATTGTTATAATACATTTTTATCATAAATTGTCAAGTATTTGTAATAAAAAAATACTCTTTATATTGGTTAAAAAATAATGCGACGATTTATATGTCACATATAATTTGTATTATTATAAGAATTTTTAAATCTTCAGCTCGAAAATATATTTTAAAAATTTATCTTAGTTATATCGAAACTTTCGAAAAGTACTTAGGTAGAAAGGTTCTCGTTGGAAGAGTCAGTATATAGCCCAATCTCTTTTAAGATGATAGTTTGTCCCTGATGAAAAACTACGAGAAAGCAATTCTCGAAAAATTGTCAACACGAAGAAATCCAAGTTTTTGATCCATAACGTACCAATGTCGCAAGTCTATAAAAGGTTTTATTAAGCAGCCGAAACTACTCACTCTCATATTAAAAGGAATACACGAGTTTTATGAAGACTAGCAAAAGTTGCATTGGTTAGAGAGATTAAAGGAAAAACTTCACAATAATTCAACTTTACCATTCCGACTTTTCTTTGCCGCCGCATTCTTTTCGCAAACGCGATTGACGAGATTGGAGTATCGTTCATCCATTTGCGAACACGCACTTTGTTTGCTAACTAAGCTAAGCGAACTAAACTCGATAAAAATAAGTAAAATCAAACTGTAATATAAAGTGCCTATATAAGAAATTTTTTATCATTTTACTTTGATATTTTTTAATTATAATATTTAATATCTAAAAAATAAGTAAGAAAAAAGAACTGCAGAGTATGACCTAAAAATGTAATATAATAAAGATAAAATATCTCATATATATGTTAATGAGATATACAGTTACGAGTACATGTATGTATATATATATATATATATATATATATATATTATTTATTTATTTGTGTGCTTATAAAAAGCATTGGATAAATTTTATTATAAATGGAAATAGGATTAAAATTATTTTAGCAAGAAAATAGTAGAGAATTGTCATACACATTTCAGAACTCCTTGTATACATTCCGGAGAAAGAATGACATAGCTTTCTGAGTTCTGACAGGCAATGGAAAGCAAATCCGCGGAATCTGAATATACAACTGGATTCCTGTCGGTAGTTTATATAAACCAACCTTCCTACGACCTACGTTTCCTCGTTTCCTTTCTAGCGAAATATCTTCAGGTAGCTCGCTATGTTATGCCACAAGAGCAATATGAAACGCAAAAATAGTAAGAGGAGAGCTGTCGGCTTAGTTATTTATATCAAACCATTAAACTACGTAGCTATTTAATGTAGCTTTTATCGGTATTTTTTGCTCCGTTTTTATCTTCTTTATTCCTTTCGCCATTCTATTTTCTATCTATATAAAGTTCGCGAGAGTTTCTGCTAATTGTACTCAAACAACAATCTAAAAAAACTATTAACGTATTTCATAATATTAATATAAATCTTATAAAAAGGGAAAAGAGAAACACAAAAAGTGAAAATAAAAGGTACATGTAAAAAGTACTTTCACAAAGCTCGTGTAGATTGGCACTTGACGAAAGTCACATTGCGCTCCAGCAGTCCCAGAGAATATTTTTAAAAAGGATCTCCTTAAGAAGGACTCTGAGCGAGACCAGAAAGCACCGAAGTTTTCAAGTAATCGCGGTTATTACTCGAAGTGCAGTTGTAGAAGTTCCACGGTAAATAACGAGCGAATTAGAATTATTGTCGAAAGAAAGTAGAGGATACTTTGTGTGAAATTTCACAAAGTTCCGGATAGTCCGCCTTCCAATAATGTACTCTGTTTTCATCTTACGTGTCGCGCGGTTTTCACAAATTGTCTTCGGAAAAATTGAGAAAGACCATCCTTTCTTGAAAACAATCAACCACAAAGAAAATCTGCTTGTTGTATCTTATGAATATATTATTACACAATTTTTTCATAGAATATGATGAACGTTATTATTGTATTTGAATGTGCCTAAAATATATAAATGTATAAAAATATTATATAATATTTATATATTTATATCAAAGTTATACCTTTAGATATCAATATTGTTATATCACCGATTAAATAATCGCGGCATTAAAATATGACGAGAAATTGCGTGACTCGATGCAGTATCTCC